TAAGGTTCCATCTGAAAATGAAGACTTACCTGACAAAGAAAATGCTCCAGATTTTGATGAGGACACTTTACGAGGTGAGCTTGGTTCAACTTTGGCTTCAGTCACTGTTAAAACATTTTCTATTCTACCAGTTTCAAGAATGTAAGCAGATGTGGAGAAGGATATTAATACACTGCATGACCACCTTAAAGGATGTTTGGCCAGTAATGACTCTCTTCTATGATTACAATATGCTATTCATTGACTGAGAGGATCCATGACATATTTGTTATTTTCTTTTCTCAAATTTCAAAGCAAGTACACAAAGTTATAATAAGTAAAGACTTTATTTGATCATCATATAACATTCATTTTGTAAGTTTGCATCATAAGTACCATCATCATCATCATCATCATCATCTTTCCATTATATTATGCAACATTAAATTGAAAGTTTCAACTTCCCCTAAGCAATCAATTTCCAGTAGAGTGCAAGTGTTATATCATTGAATATGGAGGTGTTTAACCCTTGACACCCTAACATCAGTATCCATATTCTCCATACTATTCTTTGTATGTTTCTTGTGGTACTGAAAAGAGAATTCATTTGAAGATCAATGCTTCTTAGGTTGGTGATCATTTCCTTTATTCTCATGAGCTTAGTGAATGATTCAGCAGTATTACTCCAAGCTTTTCAGGGGATGGGTCTGTTATGATAGTTAAACAAACGTTTGGCCTCGTTTCTAAAGGCTTTAATCTACAAAAACCTCGTGCTACATATACTTCACAAAATGGCGTCTTTACAGAACGAGTCCGCTGACATATGTGTTGACGGGCACTAAAAGGTATCGGTATCCCGGATTAACAATAACATCAACAATGTAAATTACGAGTACCGGTAAAGTTACTTAAATGAAGTTTCCAATGTTTGACTGTCACTACATTCACCCCTTCCTATAAATCGAGCCTATCTACAGGGCGGCGCTCTCGCTGTGATCTCCTCAATTCTGTGGGTTCTGGTTCTTTAGTTGGTTCTTGCGTCTTATCAACATGATGATCGTTGACGGGAGAAAACTCACTAGAAATATTGGGTTTAACGACTGGGAGCTGGATTGAAGAGGGTGGTTCTAGAAGTTCTACTTGACCACAAGGAGCAAGATTCTTGGTTGAAACTGTTGTTTCTCTGCCATTAGGATAACGAACGTGAGCGTAGTGAGTATTGGTCTGGAGAACATCAGCTTTTTCAACCAGAGGATCAAACTTACTGTGTCGTACATGACGCTTTACATAAACAGGGCCAGGTTCAGCCAGCCAAGAGGGGATCGAACTACCTGTGGATGAACGGCGTGAAAAGTTCAGGAAACGTTCATGCGGAGTCTCATTCGTTGCGGTGCACAGAAGAGAACGGATCGAGTGCAACACATCTGGCAGGACCAATTGCCACTGTTCTGCCTGAAGCTTCTTTGACTTAAGAGACGTTGTAATCGCCTTCCATACAGTGCCATTGTACCTCTCAACTTGACCATTACATGTGGGGTTATAACTGGTTGTACGACTTGTAGATACACCTTTGCTAGAGAGGAATTCCCGTAACTCTTGACTCATAAACGAAGCCCCTCTGTCAGAATGCACGTAGGCAGGCATACCAAATAGAGAAAACAATGTGGTGAGACACTTTATAACGGTCGGAGTAGACACATCAGGGCAAGGGAAAACGAACGGGAACCGTGAAAACTCATCAACAACATTCAGGAAGTATTTGTTCTTGTCGTTGGAAGGAAGTGGCCCTTTAAAGTCAATGTTGATTCGTTCAAAGGGTTGGGTAGCTTTTATAAGTTGAACTGGGTCCGGGCGGTGGAATACCGGTTTACATTCACAACAGATTGGACAGGAGTTCACAGTCCTCCTAACATCTTCTAGAGAATAAGGCAAGTTCTTGACTCGAATAAAATGCCATAATCGGGTAATCCCAGGGTGACAGAGCGAATCATGGAGCTTGTAGAGAGCATCACTGACGCTAGAAGCACACGTGGCTCGTGAGAAGGTATCCGGTGCTACATTATCTCTGCCTGGTCGATACTCTATGTCAAAGCTATAGCAACTCAGTTCAATCCTCCAGCGCATTATCTTGTCATTCTTAATCTTTCCTTGATGACGCTGGTTGAACATGTAGGAAACTGACTTTTGGTCCGTTTTTAGAGTGAAGTGGGACCCGGTGAGAAAATGTCTCCAGTGCCTGACCGACTCAACTATTGCTTGAGCCTCCTTTTCTACAGCAGAGTGTTTCAGTTCACTACCTTGAAGGGTGCGGGAGAAAAAGGCTACAGGCCTGCCCTTCTGATTTAGGGTAGCGGCTAGCGCTACATCTGAGGCGTCTGTTTCCACCTCAAATGGAATACTCTCGTCTATGGCAGAGACAGCAGCTTTGGCAATGATCCTCTTTAAGTCTTCAAATGCTTTCTGTGCTTCAGAAGATAAAGGAAATGATCTACAGCTGGTTATGGGTTTAATTCTGTCGGCGAAACAAGGAACCCATTGAGAATAGTAAGAGAAAAGTCCCAGACATCTATTAAGAGCCTTTGAGCTTTGCGGCAGTGGGAGCTCCAGTAGAGGCCTTAATCTTTCGGGGTCTGGACTAATAGAACCATTTTCAATGACATATCCCAGTAATGGCAGTCGTTGAGCAGAGAAGACGCTTTTGCTGTCGTTGAATTTAAGATTCGCCTTTTGAGAAGCCTCCTGGAATAATATGAGGTTAGCATCATGGTCAGCTTGATCCTTTCCACATACAGTTATGTTGTCGATGTATGGAAACACAGCTTTCAAGTGGTTATCTTCAACAAATCTCATCATTTCTCTTTGGAAGCAGGCTACACCGTTGGTTACACCGAAAGGAAGCCTGGTAAACTGATAAAGCCCACCTTTAGCTTCAAACGCAGTGTAAGGCTTGTCATCTTCTCTTAAAGGTATTTGATGATACGCACTCTGGAGGTCAAGGGTACTGAACACTTTGTACTGAGCTATTTCGTTGATCGTATCACTGATCCTCGGCAGCGGGAAAGCATCTAGTTGGGTGAATCTATTGATTGTCTGGGAATAATCAATAGCTAGGCGTTTCTTGTGATTCTCATCCTTTGTGACAACTACTTGTGCTCGCCAAGGGGACCGGCTTGGCTCAATAATGCCTTCCTTGAGCAACCGTTCTACTTCATTGCCAATGAAGTTCAGGTCTTCTTTGCTGTAGCGCCTGGACTTTGTAGCAATAGGATGGCAGTCGGCAGTGAGGTTTGAAAATGGTGATGGCGGCTCTATGTTCAGAGTAGTGAGACTGCATACCGACAGCGGCGGTTTTGTTCCGCCATACTTGAATGTGACACTATCATGTTGAGACTGAAAATCGAGTCCTAAAATCAGATCAGAGCAAAGCCCTGGCATAACCAACAGGCGAAAGTCTTTATAAGTTTGACCTTGGTAGTTAATAGTAACAGAGCAAGAGCCCTCGGTCTTTGTACTTAACAAAGATGTTGCCATGGAGACTTGGCTGACCGAAGGGTTAACAGAGATAGTAGCTACTTCAACGAGGCTTGGATGTATGTAGCTTTCACTGCTTCCGCTGTCAAAGAGTGCTTCTACACTCCAGACCTTGTTGACAACAACAGTAGCAGTTGATCCTTTAAGAGATTGGGGAATTCCTACGGTGGCAAGAGTAGGTGGCCAGAGAGCAGCTGAAACTTCGCTGGGTTTAGAGGCCTTGCTTCGGCAGACTTTCGCAAAATGTCCCCTCTTTTGACATTTATTGCAAATTGCATCTCTGGCTGGACACTTGGAACGAGGGTGTTTAGGATTTCCACAGAAGAAGCACTTTGAATCAATTGCAGCGAGTGTGGAGTCTGACTGAGCAGAGTCGACTTGGATTGGATTCTGAGCGGTCATTTCTTGTGCTGAGGCTGCAACGCTGACAGGTTGAGGGACAGAGTAACTCTCTGAACTGCGCATGGCAGAGTCGAGCGCCCTGGCCTGGTCAAACATCGTTTTCAGATCTAGAGTTTTGTTTTCTAGTAGCCTTTGGCGTATTTGGTTAGAATGTAGCCCAGTAATGAAAGCATCCCGTATATATTCCTCACAATATTTGGCAGCGGTGACAGATTGAAAGTTGCAGTCTTTGGCGAGAGTTTTGAGCGCTTGAAGATATTCGTCTAGAGTTTCACCAACCTGTTGTCGTATGGTAGCGAGCACGTGTCTGGCGTGGATTTCGTTCGTCGGCTTCACGAAAATATTTTGAAGAGTTTCGATTGCAGATTCGTAGTCGGCACATTCTTCTACATATTCGAATACCGCAGGCGAAATAAAATTTGTCAGGACTCCAAATTTATCGAGGCCTTCTTCCGTCAATACGGCGAGGAAATTTTCGAAGGTTCGACGCCAGTGAATCCACGATTTTGATGCTCCAGACGTGCTTGGATCGGCGCTGAATCTCTCGGGCCTGAGGACTTTATCCATTTGTTTTTTTTTTTTTTTTTTTTTTTTTTTTTTTTTGTAGATTAAATTGTTATGATAGTTAAACAAACGTTTGGCCTCGTTTCTAAAGGCTTTAATCTACAAAAACCTCGTGCTACATATACTTCACAAAATGGCGTCTTCACAGAACGAGTCCGCTGACATATGTGTTGACGGGCACTAAAAGGTATCGGTATCCCGGATTAACAATAACATCAACAATGTAAATTACGAGTACCGGTAAAGTTACTTAAATGAAGTTTCCAATGTTTGACTGTCACTACAGGGTCAAGTCAGGCAGGTGCAAAAGTGGCAGCTGGCACTAAAGGAAAAATCTGCAGATTTTAAATCTCCAGATCTTGGCAGCTCTGCTTATGCACTAATTAACTACAACCACAGACTTTGACACAAATTACTTTTTATTTTTTCTTTGCAGCCATAGCTGATGTTTATAGAAATATAAGAAGGCCTTCAAGAAAGGAGATTTCATCAATGCTATTCATTTTTACGCCAAAGGAATTAAAATGAACTGCAATGAGAAAGAACTGAAGGCCAAACTGCACAACAACAGGGCTATTGCACATTTTAAACTTGGTAAGATGATGATATCCATTTTTTTCTATTTTGAAGCTATTGAGTTGTCAATAGTAGTTTTCTGAAAAAGGTGATAATTTTGAATGCATGCCCGGAAAAATTTACATCTTATGTTGGCCTCTCAAATATACAAAGAAGTAACCTCTTACCCCAGATATCAATGAGCATCACAAGTTTTTTCCCAAAATTATAGTAATAGTTGGTTTGCAACATGTATGGCTAATCAGAGATATTTATTTCAATAACAGGAAATCACCAGGATTCACTAAGGGATGCAGAAGCAGCCATTGAGTTAAATCCAACTTTCCTTAAGGCAATTGTGAGAGGTTAGATATGTTAGCTGTGCTATAATAATAATAACAAAAGAACTCAACACTCTAAGGTTAAATGAGGTTAAATGGAGTTCAATCTTGTCTCAATTGACTTTAATTAAGAGGTCGAGACCACCCTGATGTACATTTGAATCCAGCTCTTGACTGCTACGCCATTACTTTCCATTAATCATGATAAGAATATTATTTTGAACGGGATGAAGAACTCAATGCGGAATGCAAAGCAAAATTTCAGCATGAATATTTTAGTTCCTTAAGTCCAATGAGTCACAGGTGTCAGATATGTTAAGAGAGTGTCCACGAGAGCACCGGGCAGTCGTGCTACAAGCCATCCCACCGATTTCAATGAAACTTTGGCAGTTTAAAGGGTCTACCCCAAAACTCAAAGAGACAAACTGGTTTCTGTCTTGGTTCTTCCGGGGGGAGATAGACCACACCCGGTTTTTCTTGGTTTTCACCAAGGAAATCGCTTCAAATAGGTAAAATGTATGAAGCCCTCACGGCGATGGTCTTTAACCGATTACTTTGAGGATTTGCACACATATTTTTACATCCTTAGTTAATGTCTGCTGCGAGTATCATACAGTTTGATTGACGGCTTGTCAATCAATAGAGGCAAATATACGACTTTGGTTTTAGACTTTTCGATCCATCCAAATATTTGACAACTTTGAGGTCAAATATCTCCCGTTGCCAGAAAGCTACAACACTATTCCTAATTCCCCTTTATAACCCATTATTTCATCTCTGAAAATCATCAAAAAAATCTTTGGGCACTACCGTATTTTTGTCTTGGATGCCTTTTAAAATCTGCGACTGTGACAAGTTTCTCTTAACTATACCTGTCACACAATTCTTGCTCTAGGCGGTCACTTGACAAAATAAACCTACATTTTTTAGCTCTTTATACAAGATGATAGATCAAGAAAGGTGAAAAATGTGAAATACTTTCGAGATTTTTTGTAGGATTGGAAAATTTCACGTTTAGAGAGATGCATGTAAACGAAAAATCAATGGGAAAATCGTAGCGTTTCTTTCTTCAGTCGTTTATTACTTTATTACTTTTTATTACAACTTCGGCTTTTACAGACGAGAAATTCTGCGCTCTCGCTCGAGAGCAAATATCAATACTTCTATCGGACTAAAAACTGTGCCTCTATCCCGAAAATAAAATTAAAATAGTGTTGTCGTTGTCACTTACCGCCATCGAACATTTCCATGCAGAACTCCGCTAAGCTAACATCTGTTGTGTGACCCGAAGACTCTTAGTAGGAATTATTCAAGCGCGGTGTTCATGCTGTCTGCTAGATAACAATTTCAGAATAATCTGCAGATCTCTATGATTATTTGCCTGCTTCGATCGTAAAATATCTGCATATTTTTTTTCAAGCATTCTATTACTACACATAAATCTTCATCTCTCTACATCGAGTGTTGCTGGCGTTTAATTGCGTGACTTGTAAAATTTTTAAATAAGAATCTGAGCCAGCAGTAATTTGACGAGTAGCCTTCCTGCAAATTTGCCTTGATGAAATCCCAAGACATAGCCAGTTGTTTTCGTGAGCAAAGACAATAAATATGAGAGGAAAGTGAGATGCAAATGTCTTCTTTTTTTTTTTAGCTTAATATCAGCTTTACCCTCTCCTGCAGTCTTCGTCTAAATTTTGCAAGGTCTCTCCTTATCTTCTGCCTTGTTCGGTCAGTTTCGAATTCTGAAGCTAGATCATTGGCATCGGCCTCTCCTTCCTTATTCGTATTTACAGAGGGGGACCTCATCAATAAACCAATTTTTGTTGCGGCAGATAACCGGCTGAAGTATCGAGCGATTTGCTGCTGTATCAACCGGTCAGTCTTAGACAACATTTCTGGCTGGTGTCGTCTCTTAAACTCGATATTTGGGAAATCACATTAGAGGTGGTTGCCTTACTAGTTTCCTCCCTTGTCCAGCACACTAGATCTCTTGGAGATAATTCTCTGCTTTCTGAGAAAAGGTGGCTGTTTTTTGTGTTTTCCAAAGAGTCCATCCAAAGTCTTCTTGGCTAGTTAGGGATTGTTCGTCAGACTTTTTACCTGAGGTCCGACCTCGAACGTAGCCGTCCCCTATAGAATGGCAAGCCGGTCTTAGTCCATTTCCTCTTGATCTTATCCTAGGCAGAATTTTTTTGTCGGTTTCACTGTCTTTGTCTTTTTTAGGGTACATTTGGATGGCAGCCAATGACTGAAACGTCCTCAGCTGATACATCCTTCTTTTAGCAAGAATATCTCGCTTTCTTGTTCCGTCTATGACGGATTGGGTATAGTTCTTGCGATGACCCGCGTTCAGAAATATGTGCACGTTGCTGATAACCACCCGCTTGTACGACTAGTTTGCTGAAGGTTTCTAATGTGACGAGCCTAGTGAGACCCTGAGGTGCTTCAAACTGTGCCAGTTGGTCTATAAACTTGTCGCAGCTCTTAAGTCAGAGGGAGGATCGCCTACCTCTATCTATGTGAGCGTCTCTACAGTACCTGTGTATCCCTATCAATCATATGATGTAAAGTTCATCTCAGTCACAAATCACCAGTTAGGAAAACTGATGTTCAGATAGGCGCTCTTCTTGCCCTTCTTCCTTATTCATTGTCGACTCCAAGATAGCAGCGACAGTAGGCGTTCTATTTAGGTTTACAGTCACCTTGCCGCCACCAGAAAGACTCGCCACCAGCTTTGATTTCTTCTACCATCTGCAGATTCAGCTCTCTCTCACTTTATGTCTCCGATTTTTATGAGGAGGATAGTGGCATTTACGAACCCGAAGGTCTGAATCTCACACCAAGTTGTGCACGATATTTGAGGTACATCGTGAAATCGCGGCCTTCGTCATCTCCAAATAAGCCACTACGCGCTAGAATAAGCTTCATCTCGGACGAAACGCATGTTTGGGATACATCGACGTCTCTCAAATGTTTTTTTTAAAGCTGTATACCCACGAATTTAGAGGTGTGAGCTGTTGCCGTCCCTGGCCAGCGCGAGAAAAGTAACATTTGGTTGTACAGTTAGTTGCAAATGAACAAGGCAACTGCACCATCTTGACTTACCAATTCGAGTGTTAGATTGAATTGAGGGCTTTTTAGACACTCGATTTCTTATATGGTATCACTATGAAGACGTAATACAACTGACACACCTACACTGCATAGGATTAACAATGTCTGTTGTGCTGTTGCGAGAAGGAGGAAAATATTACCGGAAGTGTACGCTCTTTTTAAAAAGAGTTTCAGAGACGTTTCAGAAATGTCTATCTTTGATCGGCTGTCACAAAAAAATGATCCCCACTTAAATTTACTAGGAAAAATGAACTTACCCACTGCTTGTTGAAAAAATTGGAATTCATTTGACCGATGCGCCGGTTGTTTCAATTTTTCTTTTTCTTCGGGCTGCTGTGAAACAGTTCATAAATTGACTAATGAATAAATTGTTTTGAAATACCGTTCGGGATTTGCCTTTTTTTTCTGCGTGCAAATCAAGGGTAGACAAAGTTTTTAAAACATTTGACTTGAATTTCATGGAGTTCACCTCGATAATTCTCGTCGGCAAGAGTCAAGACGCGCCAAGCTGAGCGACATCGCCCTCCATTAAAAAAAATTTTCCAAAGAATAAACGTGGCGAGCGTGAGGAAACGCACATTTTTTTCATCATTGTGATCAAAGCCCAATTATGTACCTAAATTGGTACTTACGGTATCAAACCATTGATTATGATAGGGTGAGCTCAGTTTTTCTGTCGAGATCGACGTGACTTCACATTAAAAGCATTTTTGACGGAACAAACTACACTGCACGTACTGAGAAAGTAAAAACTTGTATTTATCTCCCACGCGTTTCGTTTGACAATAGTAGACTTCATCAAGGATTTTTTCAAGTAGAGTAAATAAGCTTGCTCATATACAAATAGTAAATAAGTTGTCTCTTTACTATTGAAGTCAGTGGATAGAATACATCAGGTGCGCCTACGGTGTTATACATGCGTGACATTTTCCGGACGTTACACTTACGAGTACGTGATCCGTTTAAGGGTCACAGATTTAGTGTAAATATTTCACTTCTCAACATCACCCAATGTCTCTAGTTTACAGAGGTCTTAGAACGTTTCATTATGGAGTTGCCTTCTGCGGATAGAAGATTACAAGCGAATTTCTCAGGCGTAATTGCCTTTGATTTCTCAAGTGATGTTGTCGCAAACACAGTTTTTGGGAGTCACGAGACAAAAAAAACTTATCAGGACCTAGTTTCATGTTCTAATGGAAATAAATAGAAAATAAAGACACATTTTCTTGACAAATAAAGTCACAAATGACGGGGGTTCTCTAAAACAAATAGTGATAGAAAAATATTTCAGTTCTGGTCAATATTGACTTTTCATGGCCTACTTCCAAATCTGAGAGAACGTGCTGAGGGAATAAAAAAAACATAAATGTGTGATAATGGAATGAAAGAGAATGAAAATAGAAATAAAGAAAAAGGAGAAAACATAGGAACCCGTGTTGCAGCGTGCAGATATCTTTTGAACCAGACCTACACACATAAGCCCGACACCAGCCAGAGAAACTCGAAAGAGTCCTGTATATGAACTAGCTCGCACGTGCACGCAGGAAAGGCCATGACAATCAACGAAAATAATAGCAAATGCAGATGATATTTGCAGTCAAAAAACAGGAAAATAAGATAACAGAAGGATTAGGAACTTTCTAGAAGTTTCTTCTTGAAAAAAAAAAGATGAACAATTTTTACTTCTCATAAAAGGTCACGCAGTGACCCTACAAATACTATTCCTATACGTGGAATTTCTTGATGGTGGAAAGTGGAAAAAACATTTTCCAGTCTTATTTATTGGAAACATGGCGTAGTTAATGAATTTATGGGGCTATTGATATTTCCTAACAAATAAGGGGGGCAGAGTTTCCCGTCATTCGCGGTATGGAAAAGTCGAAGTTGTTACACTCGCGAACTTGTACGTCAACAAGCAGGCGACATGTGACTTTAAAATCTCCCCTCCTGTTACAGTTTCCTTTTTGTAAACTGTGCGATAATGATAATAGACGATCAGAGTATAGGCTAATGAATGTTTTGTTCTGTACAAGAGCCCTATGTCCTGATTTTAGCAAATCTTCAAAGTAATAAACGACTGAAGAAAGAAACGCTACGATTTTCCCATTGATTTTCCGTCAACATGCATCTCTCTAAACGTGAAATTTTCCATTCCTACAAAAAATCTGGAAATTTTTCACATTTTTCACCTTTCTTGATCAATCATCTTGTATAAAGAGATAAAAAATGTAGGTTTATTTTGTCAAGTGACCGCCTAGAGCAAGAATTGCGTGACAGGTGTAGTTGAGAGAAACTTGTCACAGTCGCAGATTTTAAAAGGCATCCAAGACAAAAATACGGTAGTGCCCAAAGATTTTTTTGATGATTTTCAGAGATGAAATGATGGCTTATAAAGGGTAATTAAGATTAGTGTTGTAGCTTTCTGGCAACGGGAGATATTTGACCTCAAAGTTGTCAAATATTTAGATGAATCAAAAAGTCTAAAAACACAGTCGTATATTTGCCTCTGTTGATTGACAAGCCGTCGATCAAACTGTCTGATACTCGCGGCGGCCATCATCTAAGGATGTAAAAATATGTGTGCAAATCTTCAAAGTAATCGGTTAAATACCATCGCAGTGAGAGCTTCATACGTTTTACCTATTTGAAGCGATTTCCTCGGTGAAAAGCAAGAAAAACCGGGGGGGTGGTCTATCTCCCCCCGAAAAAACCAAAACAGAAACCAGTCTGTTTTTTTGAGTTTTGGGGTAGACCCTTTAAACTGACAAAGTTTCTTTGAAATCGGTGAGATGGCATGTAGCACGACTGCCCAGTGCTCTCGTGGACACGCTCTTAAGTCACTATCTAGCTGTTTTAAAAAGAAGGATCAGGACTTACCTCACTCTTAGTGTTTTTGTGGGAGTTGTTGATCCCAATTTAAGTGTTCTTAGAAGTTTCAGTTGTCTTTAAGGCTAAATAAATCTAACTGAAACCTAATAGGGCCTGTTTATTCTTTTCCGTTTAGCTTTTTTGTATTGTTTTGTTTTGTCTTTTTTTTTTCTTCTGGTCTGTAATGATTTCAATTGTTTCAGGTTCTTTTCTCAAAATTGAGCTACAGTAATAATATGCTTCCTTGTGTTGTTGCCTACAGGAGCCACTGCTTGTGTTGAATTGAAGAGATTTGAAGAAGCAATCACTTGGTGTGATAAGGGACTAGCTGTATCCTTTGAAGGAATCTTTCATTTTTAACCGTGGGTATAATGGAAAAAGTTTCCATAATTTGATGTTTCAAGGGAGAAAATACAAAGAAGGGTATTAATTATGATGGTAACTTGTCAGCTCATATACTTTAAGTGTGTGTGATTAAAAACATAGGAGAAGTTATTACCTCATGACTTATTAATGAAATTACTCCTTTTAGCCAATTTGACCTAGTTCTACTATCCATGCCAATAACTGGTACATTAGTTTAAATAATCCTTTAATTTCCCAGACCAAATTTGTAATTATCCTTACTGTCAACCATACAATTCTTGTAATGTTAGTACAGAGAATTCAGTAATGCATCAACTAACTATTTTTAAATTGATATATATTTTTTTTACTCTCAACACTTATCTGATTGATATTGTATTGCTATTGTAAGGAGAAATTCTCTTTTGGTCACTCACGGGAGTTAAAGGGTTAGAAGACTAATATTCATCCAATTTATACATAGTACTTGGGTAGATGATCTCTCTAAAACAAGCCAGAACAAAAAGCTCGGTAATGTTTACATATCTTATGCAGATTTTCTTGCCTTCGACCTTTTTCCACTACTTAGAGACTCATAAACTTTCTTTGTGCTTTCCTATGGACAAATAACAATTTTAAAGACATGTATTTGTGTTATAGACTCATTTCTTCCACTGCAGGCAAACATTTTTCTGATGTTAAGGCTATATTAATTTAAAAATTGAACAAGTGCTGCTCAGTTTTTGGATACTAGAGATTAAATGTAGATATTTCGCGTTAAAGTTTGAGGCTGCACACAGAAAAAATATTTTTTGAAGTGTAGATTTACTTCATAACTGACTTTAGGACTGAATGTTGATAAATCATCCACCTTTCATGCAAAGGCCTCCTAATGGGCCATTTTATAGTTGTGTACTTAGCTGCCAAGCCTTTGATTTGGAGTAAGGCTGAAGGTGACCTTGTTGTGATAGAGACCGATATCTAGAAACGATAATAACAAAGTAGTTTGCATTTAAAAAGCAGCAATGTTTTTATCATAACAAGGTCACCCTTAATCATGGTTCTTGTTCAGAGGTTTGGGAACCAAGCACGCAAATGTTAAAATGGACTATAACATATCAATATGATCAGAAACATAATCTTTTTTGTTTTTTCCATATTTTTAACCCTTAACATAAAAAAGATCAACAAAAACAATAGGTTGTTGTTGTTATTAAGACTTCAGTCTGTCAGTGAAGTGGGAGATAACTCCATGGAGGAAAAAGATCCTATTAGTCAGGACCACGGTAGTGCAAGTTCAGGTGATGTCAAGAAAGTCATATATCTCTATAATCAGGGAAAAGAAGCCATAGAGTACCAGAACCTACATCTTAAAATAGCTAAAGAAGTAGGAGACAAGCATGGGGAGGGTTGTGCTTATTGCAATCTTGGCAATGCTTATTTTAGTCTGGGTGATTTCAAAAAAGCCATAGAGTACCACAACCTACATCTTAAAATAGCTAAAGAAGTAGGAGACAAGCATGGGGAGGGTAACGCTTATGGCTATCTTGGCAATGCTTATTTTAGTCTGGGTGATTTCAAAAAAGGCATAGAGTACCACAACCTACATCTTAAAATAGCTAAAGAAGTAGGAGACAAGCATGGGGAGGGTAACGCTTATGGCAATCTTGGCAATGCTTATGACCGTCTGGGTGATTTCAAAAAAGCCATAGAGTACCACAACCTACATCTTAAAATAGCTAAAGAAGTAGGAGACAAGCATGGGGAGGGTGTTGCTTATGGCAATCTTGGCAATGATTATCAAAGTCTGGGTGATTTCAAAAAAGCCTTAGAGTACCACCACCTAGATCTTAAAATAGCTAAAGAAGTAGGAGACAGGCATGGGGAGGGTGTTGCTCATTGCAATCTTGGCAATGCTTATCTTTTTCTGGGTGATTTCAAAAAAGCCATAGAGTACCACAACCTACATCTTAAAATAGCTAAAGAAGTAGGAGACAAGCATGGGGTGGGTAACGCTTATGGCAATCTTGGCAATGCTTATCAACGTCTGGGTGATTTAAAAAAAGCCATAGAGTACCACAACCTACATCTTAAAATAGCTAAAGAAGTAGGAGACAAGCATGGGGAGGGTAACGCTTATGGCAATCTTGGCAATGCTTATCACCGTCTGGGTGATTTCAAAAAATCCATAGAGTACCACAACCTACATCTTATAATAGCTAAAGAAGTAGGAGACAAGCATGGGGAGGGTAACGCTTATGGCAGTCTTGGCAATGCTTATGACCGTCTGGGTGATTTCAAAAAAGCCATAGAGTACCACAACCTACATCTTAAAATAGCTAAAGAAGTAGGAGACAAGCATGGGGAGGGTTGTGCTTATTGCAATCTTGGCATTGCTTATCGCCATCTTGGTGATTTCAAAAAAGCCATAGAGTACCACAACCTACATCTCAAAATAGCTAAAGAAGTAGGAGACAAGCATGGGGAGGGTACTGCTTATGGCAATCTTGGCATTGCTTATCAACGTCTGGGTGATTTCAAAAAAGCCGTAGAGTACCACAACCTACATCTTATAATAGCTAAAGAAGTAGGAGACAAATCCTTGGAGGCAATAGCCAACCATTCATTAGGATTGTTTTTTGAGTTGCAAGGTAGACTGCCAAAAGCCGTTGAACATTACCAAGCTAGCATAAACTTATTCAATTCCTTGAGAGTACTTCTAATATCTAAAGATGAGTGGAAAGTTAATTTTCGAAATCAGCATCAAGTGGCGTATACGGGTTTGTGGAGAGTTCTCGTAGAACAAGGTAATGTAGATGAAGCCTTATTTGTTGCTGAGAAAGGACGAGCTCAAGCTCTGACCGACCTCATGCAATTCAGTTTTTGTGGTGGAACAAGTCACCACAAGGGAGAAGATGAAGATTGCGCAGTTTTAAAAAACGTTCCATCAAACACTGTCTTTCAGGCAGTGGACGAAGCTAACGTCCATCTTTGGGTTGTGTCCGAAGGTAAACAAGTTCAGTTAAGACAAAGTAAAATGAAAGGTTTTTTTTCAGAGAATAGTGGATTAAGCCTGTCCTTTGAGTCGTTCATGCTCGGTGTCTATACACAACTTGGTGTTCTTTATAATGTGAGATGCGAAAATCGATCTTTAGATGCTTTGAGGGAGGGCCGTTTAAAAGTGGATGACAAAACCAAAGAAGCCAAGCCTCAACCTCACATCCAACAAGACGGATGCTTGAGCACTTTGTATGATATCGTTATGAAGCCGGTGGCTGACTTGATTGAAGGGGATGAGCTACTCATTATTCCTGATGGACCCCTGTGGATCGCTCCTTACGCTGCATTGAAGGATGGTAATTCTAAATACCTGTGTGAATCGTTCACAATCCGAGTCGCTCCATCGTTAGCAAGTCTTAGACTCATTGCCGATTGCCCAGATGATTATCACAAAAGCAGTGGTGCGTTACTTGTAGGAGGTGCGTGGTTATCCGAGGTTACTAACAGCGAGGGAGAGAAAGTCTTCGAGGAGATTCCGTGTGCTAAAGAAGAAGTAGAAATGATCGGAAAAATTCTGAATATCACGCCAATCACTGGCAGTCAGGCCACGAAACGTGAGGTGTTGAAAAGACTCAGTTCCGTTTCCCTAGTTCACTTTGCGGCATACGGATGTATGGAAACTGGCGAAATTGCTCTTACACCTGACCCAGACCGAATATCTACTGTGCCAACGCAGGAGGATTGCATTTTAACAATTGGAGATGTGTTGAATGCTCAACTTCGGGCCAAACTTGTTGTGCTTAGTTGCTGCCACAGCGGCCGGGGCGAGATCAAGGCTGAAGGTGTGGTTGGCATTGCGCGCGCTTTTATGGGGGCTGGTGCTCGGTCTATTGTGGTGTCCCTGTGGGCGATTGATGACGAGGCTACTTTTGAGTTCATGAAATACTTTTATCAACAACTTGCAGGAGGTAAACCAGCAAGTGAGTCACTGAACCTGGCCATGAAAAGCCTCAGAGAATCAGACAAGTTCTGCGACATCAAATACTGGGCGCCCTTTTTGCTGATTGGAGATGACGTCACTCTTGACTTCATGGCAAAGGAAAGAGAAAATTGGAATATGAAATCACATAAATGAAAACTTTTTATTTCATCTCAAAATGATTGACGCAGGAACTTGGAAGGTTTAAATGCTTCTCTATTTTGGCGCTTTTTGGCTATTTTTCATTACTTTTCACTTTTTTGTTAAATGGAACTTGAGATGTGTGACTTTACTTTGGTGAAGAAATAAAACAGACTATTTCAGTATATTTTGTTCAGTGGATTTGCTATTTTTTTTCCCTTTACAAATTTAGATGCTTGCGAAGAGAACAAGATGCAACAAGGCTTCTGCTGTTAATCCCTGAAGTTGTTGAAGGCGACTACGAGGTTTTCGTTTCGCCAAAATGACACTCAGATCTATTCCTTTATTGCAATCAGTTATGTGTAAAATAATTTAAAGGTTTTTTTCTTGTACACAACCAGGAGCTTGTCCGTGAATTGATCTTAATGGTTTTTCTACGTCATAAATTACTTTGTTGCAATTGCAATTATCTTTACAAAAAAATTTTCAACTTTTTTTCAATCCATTTTAATGCAATCTAATTCCATCAGTGCCAAGATTGCCATTCTAAGCTTAATTTGAAGAAGTAATCATCAGAGATGATGTTGTTGAATTTACTGACCATATGTTAGAGACATTAGACCTGCTCTCAGGGGTGTGGCCAGCCTCTAGTCCCGTGGGCCCGGCCAACAATTGTTTTCCGCCCGCTTGACTTTTCTAATACGACTCTTACAAATGTTGAAACAAAAATTGAAATTTCTCAGGAAAAAGGCCTACAACAAGTCAAAGAGCTGGCTACAACGGCCTGCTTTCAATCAAACGAGTTTGATCAATTTTAGTCCGTTTTATCAGACACTCGTCAGTTTGTTTTAGAGAACGACGACAGAGACAAATTGTCCATGTAATCTAAACAAGGAAATAGCGAAGCAGAGTTTACTTTAATTGAAGTTTCCATTGCTCTGACTTTTAATGTAGGTGACATGGAATTTGTTGTTTTCATTAGGAAAATATTTACGCCAATAAATTAGGGAAACACTTGAAGTAAGCCATGTAGTCCTCAGTGGGTATTGTTTTTGTGAAAATGTTCATGAATAAATGTAAATCTAGGCCGTAGTTAAAAAGGTTCGGGGCTTCAGGATAACACTTGCATTTTTTTGAAAATTTCCTGTTCAAATATTTTTCATGGCTTTAAATTTACCTTAGTATAATTTGGAGATGTCTGATGATATCTTTCTTAGATTTAAGAATTTATACTTAGGTATTCAGAGCACGCTTTGCAATTAGAACCTGTTATGTGGTCAAAAGTTTAAGGTATACTGTATCACAGCTGTTTTAAAAGAAAGTTTTGTAAAATCAATGTTAATTTTTGACAGATTTTCATAACTACCATTGGTATATGCTGGTATAAAATGTAATAGTTAACCTTGCACATGGTTGAATATGATGTAACGTAGGATTTTAAAAACAAGCTGGGACAATTTCGACTAAACATTCTTTTAATAATGTCAGTGTATTTGGTGTGAATTGTTTTGATGCTATTTGTATTTAAAGTTGAAGCTATTTGTTCATTTACCTTAGTTTTTATTCATTAACTCATTAACTCCCAAGTTGTGAAGAAAAATTCTCCCAACTGATAAGAATAAGTTCCTTTGTTGCTTCATTCTGAGAATTCGATGAAACATAACGTTTCTAGTGAAAAATAATCTGCTAGTTTAGATTTTCTCTAATTCTTATTGACACCATGTTTGTCGGTGCATTAATTTTGTGAGGAGAATTTAAGTTATGATCAATCTTGGGAATAAATGGGTTCATTTTAGTGTCTCCGTTTAGTGCGTACTTTACTTAATGCCTTGAACAATTTAATGCAGTTTGTATTGTACTTTTTTTTACTTTTTTGTGTAAAAGAAATAGAGTGTATAAAATACAAAAACTGCGTATGTTTTCATTGTTTGTCTCCATATTCTAAGGATTCGCGTGAGATGCAGGGAGAACAGATCCTACGGGGACTTCAATGCTTGTTTTGACCCGCGCGCGCCAAGTTGATAATCTTTGCAGCTGACAGTGTACTGACATTCCATGTTTCAAGCCCCCACCCACTTAACAAACGCTCGTCGACTCTTCGATTGTGTCTCTTTCACTGTCTACCGTTCTCCATATTGTCACACGATTTTGAATGCCGACGGACGTGTTCATACTGTTACCTGTGTGCGCCCTTTTTACCTTTTTACACCATTTCACATTCGTGCATCTCTTTTTTCTCCTTCTTTTTGTTCCTTCCCTTTTTTTCATCGTACTTTTCCTTTATTCCCATTTTTACGCGCACTTCTTTCATCGCCCTCAACTTTATTCTTCTACGCGCTTCATTAGACGCGACTATCTCCTTGTCTGTTTCAGTTTTCATTCGTCTCAATCTTCGCGCAACGTCAGGTCTCTTACAACTCATATACCTCCTTACTTCCCCAGAGTAGTTGTTATTATGCTTATTTTGTTCACTTTAGGATGGTGTCTTCTTAGCATCATGTCTAGTAAAATCTTAGTTTTCCTTTCGACTCATTCCCAGTCCACTGGGGGTCTCAATTTTAAGTCTCACTTGCCAGTGTTTGCTCTCCTCGGTCCTCTCATCACAGTAGCAGCTATAAAACGAAAGAGCTCCCTCCAAGTCTATGCGACATAATCGACACATTTTGTTGGAAACGAGTCCTTCAATGTCCAAATTAAGGCTTCTTCTATCATCTGATTGGGAATGGATCAAACTCTCGCCCAGGGTCCACCTACATCGCGAGTCCAAGATGGCAGCAGGCCAATCCACAGACTTCTCCGAGTCGGTAGCCGTCATCTTGGATGTAGACGCAGAGAGGACTTTGAAAAAGTGTTTTGACAAGACAATAATCAAGAAAGGTTAAGTTATTGTAATGCTTCCTAAGAGGTAGTCGATAACAGCCCGAGAGATTCATTAGGAGCAAACACGTTCCGTCGATTATTGGACTCCATGTCTCCTTACGTTGTAGAACAAACTCCTCGAATACGTACGTCTATATGCCCCTCTCCTCCTCCCCTAAATAGCACTATACATCCCTTTAATTGCAACTTTTAAAATTATACAGCACAATACAACATTATACCCCTGAGTAGCACTGTAAATCCGTAAAATGAAATAACTGTTCAGCGCATCACAACAATATGAACCCCTAAATAGTACTATGCTTCCCTCTACTGAATATGTTTTCAGCATACAGCGCTCTATAAACTATTGCTCCAATTTGGCACGAAAATAATTGTGGATATTTGTCCGCGGACATTATCTATTCCAAGATGCCAAAACTGTGAGCTTCGAGGGACAATGTCCAAGGACAAATATCCGAACATATTTTGGTGCAAAATAGAGGCTATTGTGATTTTTATCCTTCAATTATTTTGCAACGCTCGTGAAAGAATCTTTATGAACAGCTCACTGAATTGAATTAAATTTGAAACGAAGACTTATCGAGGTAGACGTAAGGTTGAATATCGCTTATTAGTCACTTACTGCATTTACACCAATTGCGCGCGAGCAAAAAATATTTGATGGATCATAAAAAGCAACAAGTACCCCAAGATAGCACTATACTTCCCTCTTCCACAATTTACATCACAATAGAGCGCTATAAAACAACATGTACCCTTAAATAGTACTATACTTCTCTCTTCTGCAGTTTACATCACTATACAGCGCTATACAACAATATGTACCCCTAGATACCACTATACTTCACTCTTCTGCACTCTACATCACGATACAGCGCTATACAACAATATCTACCCCTAGATAGCATTATACTTCTAGCTACTGCAGTTTACATCACTATACAGCGCTATACAACAATATGTACCCCTAGATACCACTATACTTCACTCTTCTGCAGTCTACATCACGATACAGCGCTATACAACAATATCTACCCCTAGATTGCATTATACTTCTCGCTACTGCAGTTTACATTGCTATACAGCTCTATACAACAATATTTACCCCAAAGTAACCTTGATCGGCATAACAGAAACATACATCGAAATTTTCCATGCTTTGTGTCTTTCTCCAAGGTTCATTAAATACTCGATGAAACCCTTTGCGTCGTTCAAAGAAAACGCAGCATTTTCCAGCGCAGTCGTGACTCGTTTGACGTGAAGACACAGAGATGGCGAGTTGATTAAGTCTTTAAATTTCAAACTCTTAAAGGCGGGAAATATTTCTGAAACAAAATCTTTCACGAACATCACTATTAATTCTGAATAATGTATATTCGATTCACGTTTACTTTAGATGATAAATTTTACTCCCATTTTGCCAATCATACAAAGAAATCAATACACTAAGCAATACCTTCAAGAAAACACAGTTACACAGTTGTAAATCTCCATCCTCATGCTCGGTAGAACTATGCTATCACAAAGGTGGAATAATCGCGGAAGAATAACCGCGCTTAAGACCTTCCTTTATACCAAGGAATTCGTGCCACTGGATTCGACATGTGCCAGTAACCTACTTTCATATTTAAGGTGACGTTCAGCTAAGATCAGCAAACTGTTTCTTTTTTTCTTCATTTTAAACGATTCCAATCCTAATAGTAATATCATATTTGCATAAGAAAGCTAATGTCAACTCGAGAGTCTGTATTAATTTTTTTTGATGAAATGAAACACAACAAACCAGAGATACCACGTACTTGAAACACTAACCGTTTAAACATTTTCTTCCACATGACGCTCTTAACGGGCTCAACGAGCTGCCAAAATTCTCTTCAAATCCGTTTTCGTTCGTGTGATAGCTTGACTTCTATTTCGATTTGACAGTTCAGTTCGACAGTTTGACTGTTAAACCTTAAAAGATTTGTAGACACAAGCCGAATAGATTTATGAATTTGCTTAACGGCGAATGAACGCATTGAAATCAAAATTGATTTTCTTTAAGCTCAGCTCACTGAACTACAAGTCTGCTGTCAGATGATTAACGTGGACGCTATTTTAGTCCCTTAAATTTCTCATTTCTCAATGCGTCA